GGGTGACTGTCCCCTCCTCTCTCTGCCGACGTCCACCACCAAGATGGCCGCCGGCAGCTATCAATAAGATAGTCGCGCATGCGCGTTGATGTCACGGTGGGATGCCGCCCGGTAACCGCTCCGGGTGACACCCGGGACGCCCCTGCCACCGTGGTCTCTGATACAGAAGAAACCTTTGGATATCTATGCCTTCTATGAGGGTGGGCAGCAAGAATACCTCGGCACTCCAGCTCTTGTGGAACTACAAATCCCATGATGCATTGCAAGACTCTGATGCCCAGAGCATTGACTCTGTGTCCTCAATCTCTTTTTCTATTTTATAAGGGAAATATCAGGGGGTCGGTTTAAAGCCCCCAGCAGTAAAATAAAAATATTTAAATATTTAATCAAAATAAATAAATAAAAAATGTTTCCAATGTAGCCAATAGCACCTATGCATCCACCGCCCCCTATGCATCCACCGTCCCCTATGTATCTGCCGCCCCCTATGCATCCACCGTCCCCTATGTACCCGCCGTCCCCTATGTATCTGCCGTCTCCTATGCATCCACCGCCCCCTATGTATCTGCCGTCTCCTATGCATCCACCGCCCCCTATGTATACACCGTCCCCTATGTATCTGCCGTCTCCTATGTATCCACCGTCCCCTATGTACCCGCCGTCCCCTATGTATCCGCCGTCCCCTATGTACCCGCCGTCCCCTATGTACCTGCCGTCTCCTATGTATTCGTCGTCTCCTATTCATCCAATGTCTCCTATGTATCCACCGTCTCCTATGTATCCACCGTCTCCTATTCATCCAATGCCTCCTATGCATCCAATGTCTCCTATGCATCCAATGTCTCCTATGCATCCAATGTCTCCTATGCATCCAATGTCTCCTATGCATCCAATGTCTCCTATGCATACAATGTCTCCTATGCATACAATGTCTCCTATGTATCCACCATCTCCTATGCATCCACCGTCTCCTATTCATCCAATGTCTCCTATGCATCCAAAGTCTCCTATGCATCCAATGTCTCCTATGCATCCAATGTCTCCTATGCATACAATGTCTCCTATGCATCCAATGTCTCCTATGCATCCAATGTCTCCTATGCATACAATGTCTCCTATGCATACAATGTCTCCTATGTATCCACCATCTCCTATGCATCCAATGTCTCCTATGTATCCACCGTCTCCTATGTATCCACCATCTCCTATGCATCCAATGTCTCCTATGTATCCACCGTCTCCTATGTATCCACCATCTCCTATGCATCCAATGTTTCCTATGCATCCACCATCTCCTATGCATCCAATGTCTCCTATGCATCCAATATCTCCTATGTATGTGATGTTTTCTATGCATCCACCGTCTTCTATGTATCCACCATCTCCTATGCACCCAATGTCTCCTATGCATATAATGTCTCCTATGCATACATTGTCTACTATGTATTCAGTGTTTCCAATGTAGCTAATATCTCCTATGCATCCAATGTCTCCCGTGTATCACAAGTTTCCTATGTATCCAATGTTTCCAATCTTTCCTTTGCATCCAATGTATCCAATAGCTGTGTTATTACACAATATTAAAGTTAGTTATTTTACCAAATATTAAAGGTTACCTACAATGTCTCCAGTCTGTCACTCTGCATTGTATATCGGGGGATTCTACTTTCAATCCTCTTCATGTAAAGTTCCATAAAACCTTTATACTGCAAGTTGAAATACCAAGTCCTGATAGTGGAGTAAAACCAGGATACTGATCGGATCCCCCGATGGCATACACTGCAGAGTGACAGACGGGAAACACTGATCCTGAAAACAAATCTGAACTTACCGATCCGTCAAAGCAGTGATCCGATTCCCCGCTCTCAAAGAGGACGAAGTCCTTGATGAAGACCGCGATGGCTCTCATGATAAAGGACATGAACAGGTGCATGTGGATGTAATTCCGGGTACAATGCAGCTTCCTGTGTGAGAAGGAAAAACAATGTAACAAATGAAATAAGAGTTTATTATTATTATTTTTTTTTTTGGGATGTGCATATAAATGTTATGTGTACATGAGCTCATGTGTAATCAATTCATCATTTCATACATTCTTTAACATGTAAAAGTAATTTTCAATCATTTAAAAATCTGCAGCTTTCAGTAAAATAATCCCCAGTCTCTCTCCCCTCCTGGCCGTCTCTCCTTTCTCTCTTGTCTGGCTCTCCTCTCTCTCTTACCTAGCTGTCTCTCCTCACTCTCTCCACTGGCTGTCTCTCCTCACTCTTTCTCCTGGCTTTCATCTCTTTCTCCTGGCCGTCTCTCTTCATTCTCTCTCCTGGCCGTCTCTCCCCTCTCCTGACTGTCTCTCCTCTCTCTCTGATGGCTGTCTCTCCTCTCTCATGGCTGTCTCTCCTCTCTCTCTCATGGCTGTCTTTCCTTGCTCTCCTGGCTGTCTCTCCTCTCTCTCTCTCTCTCCTCGCTCTATCTCTCTCTCCGGGCTGTCTCTCCTCTCTCTTTCTCCTGGCTGTCTCCTCATACTTTCTCCTGGCTGTCTCTCCTCACACTTTCTCCTGGCTGTCTCTCCTCTCTCTTTCCTGGCTCTCTCTCCTGGCGGTCTCTCCTCTCTCTCTCCTGGCGGTCTCTCCTCTCTCTCTCCTGGCGGTCTCTCCTCTCTCTCTCTCTCCTGGCTGTCTCTCCTCCGTCTATTTCCTTTCTCTCTCCTCTCTCTCTCCTGGCGGTCTCTCCTCTCTCTCTCCTGGCGGTCTCTCCGCCGTCTATTTCCTTTCTCTCTCCTCTCTCTCTCCTGGCTGTTTCTCCTCACTCTCTCTTCTGGCTGTCTTTCCATACTCTCTCTCCTGGGTGTCTCTCCTCTGTTTCTCTTGGCCGTCTCCTCTCTCTCTCTCCCCTGGCGCTCTCTCCTCGCTCTCTCCTGTATATTCTCTAAAAACTATTGCTGTGCAGTGCTAGAGTGTTCAGGCTATGCTTGAAGAAAAGGTGGCAACCCTACCCCTTCCCATATCTTTAATGGGTGTCAAGGGGACAGGAAGTGAGAAAAAAAATCTCCTTTAACGGGGGTCACAGATTTTATTTTTTTACTTTATCCGGCTCTATCCAAAACTAAAACAAAACAAAAAATGGCACAAAAGGTGAAACAAGGTGGATTTCTCCCCCTAACAACGCCAGGACTTCAGAATATTCCGCAGTCTGTTCTCAGACGCCGTCTGCATTCATCCGGCCCCCAGCGAGAGCGACGCTTTCCCCTGCGAGCCGGAGATAAGAACACGGCACTTAAGGTGCCAAACTGTTAGGAAAAGGTGTCACAGCTCCTGAGATATCGCTAGACACCCTTCTATGGGAGCAAAATTACCTTTTTTTTTTTTAAACCGTACAAATCACTTGAGTTCAGATCTTGCTCTATTAGTGAACGTTGTTTACGACGGAGCGTGTGAAAGAGGGGGCAGGATGTCCTCCATCACTCGTCAGTCACCGTCTATAGTCCTCATACTCGAAGAAGACACGGCCGGCACTTCATCACTGCTCATTACTATGGTGGGATAAGTGACCCGGGTGTGCAATGAGCAACACTCCTCGCCCACGCTCTCTCCATAATCTGCCCCACTAATTAGAACCCCTCATTGTGGGTGACGAATCACCGATCCCCGCGAACAACTTCCTACAATCACGTGACCACTTATTACCCAGATGCGGTCTGTCTGTCCGTGACATGACGCTCATCGCTCAATTTAATATCAATAAAAAAAAGAACGAGAGCTATTCGTATCCTTTGAATTAATGACACGTTGAGTTGTGCAAATGGAGGGTGAATAATGTTGGAATAGCGATGATGATGAATACTCTGGAGGAGTAATGCGAATGTTTGGGCAATCATTGTAAGAGAAAAACTCCAAGGCTGGATAACAATTAGGGACGAGCGGCGTGATTTTGGTGAAGTGCAAGCGGAACTTTGCAGATTTGAGACTTCAATTTTTTTATTTAGTATACTTAGGGTGGTTTCCTTTATTTATTTTCTTGTTCTTTGTATTATTTTTGTTTTCCTTTTTTGTGTATTTGTTCGCTTTTGTGTTTTGTTGATTAAACTCTTTTATTTTACTCTTTTTTTTTTTGCTTCCTGTC